TACGATTTGTAAATTCATATAGACATATAGTGTTATTCATACTATAAATTATTTATCACACAATTCACGTTATATCATATTTAATATGATGTTTTTCATTGCTYCCTCGTGGTATTCTTGGTCAATATTTCGTATAACTCATAAAGCTGAGGAATAGATTTTATACTTAATCTTTTTTTTTGAAATGTTTTATTTTATGTATGTATACTATACATATACATTGTATATATTTCTACAGTTTGTACACTTACAAATAGTTTTTAGTCTGAATATGTCTTTTTTATATACTTTGTTTTTGTAAAAGGGTTGATAGTTTGATATCTGTATGATGTTAATACATTACATAAATAAATAATTAATCTACCCACCAAATTATCGAAAACTATTTTTAGCCAAAACAATAAAGTGTATAAATAAAACTAATATGATCATCATGTGTGATATCTGAGATCCAAGTATTCTGTAATAACTGTGTTTACTATATTATAAGCTATATGCTATAATATTATAGTTATTGGAATGCGTAGGCGATGTTAATGCAGTCATTTCTTCAACACATAGGTGGAGTCACGTTAAATTCCAAACGTCTCAACATAACGAGGAATGAGGATCATAACGCACCAACGCGATTATAATATCTTGTATATTTATATAAAGATTGTAATTATTTAGGTTACTGGATTTCGGGAAGGAATGTTTCGTGACGATTGCCGTGAATGGAATTCGTCATGCGGGGGAGAGCCACACGAGCAACAGAGGCTCGGGAGCTTTTATTGCGYGGCGGCGGTGGTCAACACTATAATAATATGTATAATGTACAGTATATCTGTATATACGCGAAATCCACAAACGGCGCGGCGGGTGCAATAGGTGTTTCGTATTTTTGGCGCTATTCATATGGCTGCCACCTCTGCCGCCGTTGAGAGGCCGTAAAGAATTCGTCGACAAAAATAGAGAGCCACGTTCTCCCCCGCTTGTCCGCGCGGCCTCGTCCGACCCCGAATTGTTTGCATATTTTCCGCATGACATGTTCTTGTTTACCAAAGTTGACCCCGTAAGCGCTATTTCGACGGTTCACATGCTCCGTGCGCCGAGTGTGTGAGCAAATCGGTGTTTTCCCTCCGATTGGTTCAAATAAATACATATTTACGCCCTAAGTCCAACCAGACTAACTATTGTTTTTGAATTTACGTAACAGTAAATGATGTAGCTACTGTACGTCTGTACCGTACCTACGCTTTATTGGATAGGAACATCAACTCGGGTGTTTTACTGCATATTTACATCGGTTATTCGCTACTTATAAGTCACAGCGTGAACCACGTAGCCACGTAGGTACCTATGTCTGAATATTAAAGTAGGTATATTATATTTGTGGTGTATGCCAGTGGAAAAACTAGGAGGGAAGTGGACTCCGGGTCCGGAGTTCACCCCTTTTAGGTAAGTAAAATAGTATTGTTAACAAAAACATATTATACTTATATTGATTATACAAATTAAGACGGTTTATTTTGTCGGACCTCCACTATGAAAAATKTCTGGTTGCGTCACTGGTGTATATTTTATGTCTGCGATGTACGAGTATGAATAGTGATAAAACCTTACCCGTATAATATTAATTTTATTAATATTGTATATTTTGATGAATAAATGTTTTGACGTTTAAAAAAAATCTGAATTTCAGACTGGATTTGGAAACAATCAGTTCCTAGCTATAGCGGCTATAGCCGTATGTCAGTATAAAGGCCAGTTAAAATAATTACAGTTGCACTGTTGCTGTATATTACCTATACTAGCTGGCAGTTACCGAAAATTTTGGAAGTGCTTAAAATGAGTAAATAATTTACTATAAATTGATAGCACTACGTGACAATATACTGCAGCTGTATAGCATCATAGAACAATGGTATAGTAAAATAAATTATTATTTTAATTTTCCCTTTTATTTAAACATGTACCTATATAATATACCTACAGTATACAGGGTGATTCACCAAGCATTCTTACTCCCTTTTTTCTTCAATAATATTAAATAATAATTAAGTTTTAAATGTACAAACTGCAGTACTGCTTAAAGAATAAAGACTATGAAATACATTCAAATTCTTAAGATTGTTTGTACAACTTAAGGAGTGTCCTGTATAAAGAAACTAATTTCTGTTTTTAAAGTTTAAACCCTCATTTTCTGTTGAAAATTATTTCGTGAATATTTTTTCTGAAAATGTTCATAATATACCAGAATAAACCTATAGGTTTACGTTTACGATAGTAACTTTTAAGTCTCAGTATATGAAAAAAAAAATAATGATTGTGTATAATACAAAATGCAAATTACCTAATTCACGGTGCAGTATCTCAGAGTCTCATAAATTTAACCTAACTGTGGAGCGAAATCTTATTATTATTTATTTACACAAACAGCCATTTTCAACAATAATTTAAATTTGATATAATATATCAATTCACAAGCCTAAGTTGTTATAATTATATTTATGAAGTACTGTTTTATAAAATATACGTATGTATTAATTATATCATATGGATTTTATCGGATACTTAATTAAKTTTATTTTTGGCCCTATTTGAGAAAGTCAGAAAAACTGTATTAAGTTAGTTACTGTATTATCGTAGCCATATTACTTATGTATTGATTGAAAAGAATTTTTGAGAATTTTAAGGGGTTTATTATATAACTATATAAGGTCATTCAGCTCATTCTCTTGGTGCCGCTGATTATAATAGTACCTACCCATAATTAACAATAAAATATTTCAGATATTGTATATGCATATGTTTATTTTTTCTAACCTTGTCCTTACTGACTATTTTAAATAATTATGAATTACTAAATAAATTATAATGGCTATACTAATTTATTGCGTAGGTGACCTTGATAAGAACTTCATAAAAAAGTCTGAAAGAAATGTTATTACTTCAATTGAAATAACTTTTTTCTCTTGGTTAATGAGTATCTAATAATAGGCTGTAGTTGGCTGTGATAAATTTGAATGTAATGAAAAATCGTTGTACACGGTGAAAAATGATTCGGATTATATCTCTATAAAATAATTCACAATTTCAACAATTGATTAAACTCAAAGTCCAAACCCTCACGAGAAAATGTTTTTGGATTAATTTTTTTTTTTACTTGCAAAAAAAAATTATGTTAGAACCTGTACCTATTACATTTTCATATTTTAACGCAGTGGTTTTCATGCTTTTTGATTCATGGCACATAATTATACATCATAAGTTTTCTCGACACGAATTTAATGAAATAAAGTACTGTTTTCAATATTTTTACCAGCATAACTACAAATATCAGAATCTTCTCGCGGCACATCTAGTCGATCTCAAGGCACAGTAGTCAGTAGTGTGCCGCGGCAGTACATTGGTTGAGAACCACTGCTCTAACGTATACAAATTAGAAATTTAACGGTTTTAATGATTTTTGTCAAAATTTGAAACTAATATGCTTATAACAAATCGTGAATATAATATATGTGGTTTTGATATTTTTGATTGTTGTAAGAAAAAATGTTGTGGATCTTTTTATTAAATTGTCACTCACAAGCAAAAACTGTATCAYACATTAAGTAGTTAAATAAAAACTAAAAAGTAAGT